TCGCATGTCAGCAGCAGGTCCTTCATGGTTCCCCCTAGCTTGCTCTGCACACTTTTCTCTTGAGGCCATGTGTCTTTTCCAAACTACAGGCAGAGTGGGCAGGTTTGCAGAATGTGCTCATGTGTTTGCGGTCCTGTTCGACAGGCACACTATAGGTACTGTACAGTGCGTAGAATACAATTCTACCAGTTGAGTGAGTTGAGTCAAGAATCGACATCACAGCACTCGGGGCATTCCCATGCGTGCTCCGTTCTCATCTTCAGCAGCCAGCGCAGAGTCTACCATTGTTATAATAATGTAGCCGGAGTAAATGGCTTAGGCCTTGATCCTAATCCCGAAATACCTATCAGTTTAGCTGCAGGAGATCTGACAGCAGACCACCTTTATTTTGATTTTGACAATAACAATCACCCCTTGCCTGCCTTTCAATGGGCAATGGCAAACTAGTGAGCGTAAACAGCCAAAAATGTTGGAGCTGCTTCTGCTACGTCATGTAAAGGATACGCAACTAACTTTGAATAATAATAATAATAATAATAATAACAATAATAATAATAACAACCAACAGTCTGCACACATATGAGTCAGATCTGTAATAATGATAATAATAATAATAATAAAAATAATAATATTAATAATAATAGTGATAATAATAATAGTAATAATAATAATTATTATTATTATCTTCTGCCTGTAATCCTCCAATGGAGCAAGGCCCCGTACCTACTGACGCCATTGTAAAGATTCGATATCGACTGACTGGATTTTGCAGCTACATTTCATGAGGGAGGGATGGTCAGCTTCACAGCAACCAATGTACTTACTTATTTATCTGCCCGCCTATTTAAGAGCAGCCTTTTACGACACATACGAAAGACTGTGGTGTTACTATTCTTCGACTGCCTACAGGTTCCGGCAACCCGTTAGCCACTTTTTTTAATGATAGTGAACAATAAAATCTTTCATCATCATCTTGTAATAAGGCCTTCGTAGAGCACGGTTTTCACCACGGACCCCATACAGCACACGAGTCCATGTGTCCGTCACGAGTCCATGTGTCTACCTGGCTACTAACAACACTACCTGTCTACTCACTCACTCTACTTGTCTACCTATACACCTGGCTTCCTACCTTTTACATTATTATCTACCCGATCACTTTACTTGTTTCACCTACACACCTGTAACTAGCCTATTAACATTATTACCTATCTACTCACTCCATTCATCCCCTTCAAACCTGAAAATCACGACCAGTTCCAGAAATAAGGCCGTAATGCTCAAACGGGAATTCCCGTTTTTTTGTGAGGCTGGCGTGGCCGGTCGGTGATAAAAAGTTATCGGGTAGATTTATTTATTATTTTAAAGATAAATAAATGGACTATTAGAAAATATTTATGTTTCTGTATAAATCTACTCGAAAACGATTGTTACCACCGACCGGCCAAGCCAGCCTCACAAATAGGGGAATTCCCGTTTCAGCTGTACGGCCTTATATCTGGAGCTGGCCGTTGCTAGCAATCAATCTGGCTATTCACATCACTGTATATCTACTCACCCACCTATACACATCCCTACCTACCTACCTACCTACCTACCTACATACCTACCTACCTACCTACCTACCTACTTAGGAACCTGGATATTTAATTAATTAATTATCTTTGCGGCAAGCTACTTTCTTGACGCATCTACGTGTGCGCTTCTATATCCGCTTCGACAAGTTTATTTAACTGTCTGACCTGTATGTGAGTCTGTCCTTTTACTACACCGTCAGAATAAATCCAGCTCCACAAAAACATAACTGTGACCGAACTACCTTAGAGGTACCCCGCTGTGAAACATTAGTTACCCGTTGCCACAATTAGTCGATTCCCCGTTGTCAACGACGCGATATAGTTGTCAAGGATACTGGTCGTCAAGACTAGCATAAAAATGGCGGATGTTTTTCTGAGGCGCACACCTAAGCACCAGGCGCCGTGTACGGGAAAACCCCGTGCGATGCGTAAACGGTATTCAGTGTTTACCAACTAGAACACCCAAGGTGGCGGAGTTTGTTTATGGTGGGGTCTGTATTTGGAAACATCGAGACCTCCTTTTGAGCAGACATTTTTTAGTCCACAGGCGGCCTGCGACTCAGCTGGGGAAGACGGACCACATGAAACTAAATTCATGGGGTGTGTGTGAGTGTGTTTGTGTGTGAATGTCCGACTGTCTGCCGAATGTTCGGTGTCTTGGAGCGCTTCCAGGGTGTTGGACTCGTTTGCTTGTGTGTATATCCTGAGATAAGACGTGTCCTTTTTAAGCTAGTCGAATTCGTTTAAACATACGGTTACTTTTTCTTTCTTTCTTTTTCGTTCTTTCTTTCTTTCTTTCTTTCTTTCTTTCTTTCTTTCTTTCTTTCTTTCTTTCTTTCTTTCTTTCTTTCTTTCTTTCTTTTCTTCTTTCTTTCTTTCTTTCTTTTTCTTTCTTTTCTTTCTTTCTTTCTTTACTTTTCTTTCTTTCTTTCTTCTGTTTCTTTCTTTCTTTCTTGTTCTTTCTTTCTTTCTGTCTTTCTGTCTTCAGAACTGCACCTTTCTAACTTTCACTCAAGGCCGCGTCAACCTTCTAGGAGCCTTTCTTTCTTTCATTTTGAAAAAAGCCTGGCTCCGCCACGGAGCGAACCCACGACCTTCCGATCTGCAGGCGAACGTCTAGCCGTTACGCCACGGTGACTCCTTGGTTTACCCCAGTTCAACCCTTTTCTGTCCACGTACAGGGTAAAGAATATTTTATAGAAAGCAAAGATGGGTGATTTGAAAGAACTCAAGAAACCTAGGAGCCAGGGTCATTTTTGAAAAAAACGGAAAGATGAAGAAGGCGAACGTCTAGCCGTTACGCCACGGTGAAAGTTCAAAGAAAAGAAAGAAAGAAAGAAAGAAAGAAGAAAGAAGAAAGAAAGAAAGAAAGAAAGAAAGAAAGAAAGAAAGAAAGAAAGAAAGAAAGAAGAAAGAAAGAAAGAAAGAAGAAAGAAAGAAAGAAAGAAAGAAAGAAAGAAAGAAAGAAAGAAAGAAAGAAAGAAAGAAAGAAAGAAAGAAAGAAAGAAAGAAAGAAAGAAAGAAAGAAAGAAAGAAAGAAAGAAGATAGAAAGAAAGAAAAGTGGAAAAGTTATGCGCGAGAAAAGAACCCTTAGTATGTCAAATGGGTGTGCACACAACACTCACGTTCTGAAACAAAACAAAGGTCCGGAAGTGGACGAACAAACAGAACTCTTCGCCACAGTTTAAAGCTGCTGAATGCTATGGAAACATGAAGATAACAACACATAAATACATACACAAATAACAAAAATATTAAGCATTGAAGAAAACGAATGAATGGGGGAAAAAAACCCAACCCCCCCCCCCCCCCCCCCGCCCCTTTTCCCCCAATAAATTTTTTTTTTTTAGAAAAGAGAAAATAAAACAACAAAATAGGACAAAAAGGAATACGTAAAGTGAACTAACTAAAAGAAAGTTAGAAGGGGAGAAAACCCAACAAAGTAAGAAAGAAAGGAGGAACACAGAAATAGCTAAAGAAAGAGACAACAAAGAGAGTGCAACAAAGGAACATACCAGCAGAGGGTATGAGAGAGAAGTTCCCATTAAAAAAATATATATAGAAAGGTAGGAAAAGAGACAGAAAAGCAAAACAGAGAGATGGACAGAGTGGTATGTAAATAAGTAATAACAGAACGACATGGAGATTAAAATATAGATATAATGAGAGAATAAAAGAAAATGAAAAGGGGTAGACAGAGGTAGGGGGGGGGGGAAGTAGAGAAAGAGAGAGCTGTAGCCTGTTTATCGGCTAGTTCAGGCACAAAGGCCCTGCTCGGTAAGAGAGGAGACACAGGCAGGTAAAGAAGACGCCCCGAAAGCCGAGCCCAGGTCCCTAGGTGAACGTGCGACGTGTTGTTCACGTGCCAAGCCGTGATTTAAATGACATGTGAAAACGATGATTGGCCGCAGCCAGATGCCACCGGCCTGGCTTTTAATGTTCTCTCTCATTCCGGGAGATCTGAGGCAGTGTGTGCCACTCACTTACTTACTTAGTGACTTGCTGGTTCCTGCCACAGGGTTAGTTCCGACTGTCTCTAGTTCTCTATTGTCTCAGACTCTAGTTCGGCGGCTCTCAACCTGTGGTAGGCGACCCCTTTGGGGTTTCAGAGGATTGCCTAAGACAATCTAAAAACACATGTTTACTGAATTTATGAAGTAGCAACGAAAATAATTATATGTTTGGGGGCCACTGTACCCTGAGGAATTGTATTAAAGGGTCACGACATTGCGAAGGTTGAGAACCACTGCTCTACTCTGTGTGGTGGTGGTGTAAATGGGGGATGAAGGGGTGGGGGGGGGGATAGAAGATATAGCCACGATATATTAGACTGGAATAAATTGCCTGAGGGTATATGATCCACGTGTAATAGAGAAAAGGCGTGAGATAAGGATGGGAAGAAGAGGAACGATGACGATGGCATAGAAGGGAAGGAGGGGAGAATGATGACAAAATGTGGAGTTGCAATACAATTACAGAGGATGTGATCTATTCGGCCACAATGCCAGCTGCATGCGATTTATCATCAAACCCACTCTGTGTTAATTCGACAGTGGTATCCAGAACCGAAAGTTTAGGGGCAATGGCAAACGGCTCAAAGTAACTTTTGTCTAGGAAAACTACAACAGTCAAAAACGATATTGTCGATAAGGACACTCCCTGTTAAGGATACGCAACTTTACTTTCGCAACCTAACTCTACTTTTACGTATCTGTTGACACATTTCAAGGTTCAAATAGTACAACTATTATTATTGCACACTTAAACAAGGATTTAACCCCCCCCCTATGCAGACACCCCCCTCCCCTAAAAAACTTATATGAGGCTGAGCCCCTCCCCCTCCTGTCTCGATGGCAGCATGCCACTACAAAAAGTCTCAGTTTTGATGGCTTACATACATTGTCTCGCTCTCGTTCCTGCAGGACTGGGAGGTGACAGCTCCGACAGACCAGGCGACGTCATGGACCGGGATGGCTACCCCCACCAAACCCCCCGACAGAAGCGAGTGCGAACTTCGTTCAAACACCACCAGCTGCGAACCATGAAATCCTACTTCGCCCTCAACCACAATCCCGACGCCAAGGACCTGAAGCAGCTGGCCCAGAAGACAGGTCTCTCCAAGCGTGTCCTACAGGTCAGTCTGACTGTTTTGATATATTCAGAATGTCATCATTGTGGTCATGATCTTCATTACTATCTTATGTTTTCTCCACTGAAGACTGACGCTTATGCCTCCCCATTAGGAGTTGTTGTATATTATGGACCGTAAACCGTGTAAGGTGGTCACATTTCCCTATTCACTATCCATGTATACGTGTGATGTCTTCTAATTCTTTTGCCATCCATTCTTCCACAAGGGACATTTTCAACTGAGCATTGCATCACTTTAAAAGACTACACATCATTAAAGTTTATTTGTAAACTCCAGGAAAGAAGCATGTAGTCTATGTAGTCTAAATAAGATTAGATATCTCTGCAGCCCAGGGTAGAAGAGAAAAGTCTAAACAAGATTGTAAGGTACCTCTACATCCGAGGGTAGAAGAGGAAGACCTACACAAGACTACAGGGTACCTCTACATCCGAGGGTAGAAGAGGAAGACCTAAACAAGACTACAAGGTACCTCTACATCTCAAAGTAGGAGAGGAAAGACTAAACAAAGCTGTAATCTACACTCCAGGATAAAAAAGGAAAGACTAAACAAGGCTGTAATCTACACTCCAGGATAAAAAAGGAAAGACTAAACACGACTGTAAGGTACCTCTACATCCCAGGGTAGAAAAGGAAAGACTAAACAAGACTGTAAGGTACCTCTACATCCCAGGGTAGACTTAGAAAGACTAAACAAGACTGCAAGGTACCTCTACATCCCAGGGTAGAAGAGGAAAGACTAAACAAGACTGCAAGGTACCTCTACATCCCAGGGTAGAAGGGAAAAGACTAAACAAGACTGTAAGGTACCTCTACATCCCAGGGTAGAAGAGGAAAGACTAAACAAGACTGCAAGGTACCTCTACATCCCAGGGTAGAAAAGGAAAGACTAAACAAGACTGTAAGGTACCTCTACATCCCAGGGAAGAAGAGGAAAGACTAAACAAGACTGCAAGGTACATCTACATCGCAGGGTAGAAAAGGAAAGACTAAACAAGACTTTAAGGTACCTCTATATTCCTGGATAAAAGATGAACGGTCGAGTAAAACTTACGTTACTTTTAAAAGGTAGAAAAGACGGGGAGAGAAAAAGAAATCGTCTATAGCCAGAGTAGCTGAGGAGGAACTAAGACAAAAGGGTCTTTATCCACAATCTTAGTCTTATTGTGTATCTAGAGCTAGCACTATATTTTTAGACCAATCGGAACTGGGGGGGGGATATGGTTAAACATTCCAGGTACGAGAGAGAGAGAGAGAGAGAGAGAGAGAGAGAGAGAGAGAGAGAGAGAGAGAGAGAGAGAGAGAGAAGGGAAAGCAAGCATCCAAGGCACTTTCTACAGTTAATGTCGCAAGCATTTGTGGTCATGGTCTACCCAGAACCTTCTGTCTCGTAAATGTTTCAGTATTTTTGACACAGATGATCCTCCATGCCACATTATGTCGAATATCTAGAGCAATCATTTCTCTCTCATTCGTCCGTAAAGTCATATCCCTTTGCTTACATCTGCCGGAAATAGTGGTAGAGCATCTAGCAACATCCTTAGGCTTTTACTGCGTGTGCATGTTTCTGGATTGTTTCGGGACTAAGTGTTTGTTGACCAGTTTTTCAAACGCGACAGTGAGGGACGTTTCATTCTGATTCGCACTGGCACAGGAAAGGAACAAGTATGGGGAAACCTGATTGCTGTGAAGTTGAAACCTCGACTCAGACTAAAGTAGGGTAAAGAAAATAGGAGAAGAGGAAAGACAACATAAAACCACCCGCTACTTGGACACCCTGCGTAAAAGCCAGGATACACTAAGAACATGATGATATTCTCGTCACTTCCAGGTCACTGGAGACATTGTGTGTGACCTCATTTATTACCCACGACAGAAGGGTAACCACAGGTTTCAACCTTACAAGGCAAACCATCCGTTGGGTAACGCCGACCCGCGGTTGACCATCTGGGTGGATGCGCGTTACAGCCCTCGGGCAGGCTGGAGTCATCACTGAGCGTCATGTGACGTCATAATTACGGTTTTTCCCGGCGTAATAAAAGTAACAGCTGACATGGCAGACCTGGTTCTCGCCTGTCAGTCAAAGGGTGGGGGTGGGGAGATGTCGTTGTTAGGGTCCTCTTGTCGGAAAGACAAAAACAAGCTCAATGCATCCCCAACAAGCATGTCGTAGGAGTCGACTGATTGGGGGTGGGGGCATCCTTCGAAGTCGGAGTGCATCTGCCTTAGAGGCAAGGAACCAACTTTCTATATACGAATAAGCCAAATTCGTAAAACGGATGTGCACGCAATACTCAGGTTCAGGAAAAAAAGATCAAAGTCCGGAGGAGGACGAACAACTAGAATTTTTCGCGGAAATGGGAGCTCCAGCTTCAATAATGCTTTGCCCTAGAAAATTTCGGAAAAAATGTCAAAAATGTCAGAAACAAAAGAATCGACGTGGATCTACGCTTAAAATTCAACCTAGAATTAATTGGATATCTGGTCATCCTCCCTCTGCGTGTTGAAATATTCAAGTAAATGCGTTACCGTAATGGATTTGCTCCTATCCACAACATCTAACCTGTCATACATCCCCCAAGCATCAGGATTACAAATCCCTAGATATCCAAAGTTGCTAACTAACCATTTAAGTGCACAGCAGTTATAATACAGGCGGATGAGATAAGACAGGGGATAAGTTGCAGAGATAAACAGCACAGATGGACAAGCAACAACAGCATGTGCTAACAGGAAGCGTATTAATCCTCCTCCTCAGGGGTTGGAGGGAGTGTAGCGGCTTGACGTTCTCCTGCCGGCCTCAAGCTCTTGGGTTCCAATCCATACTGAGTCGGATTTTCTTTCTCAGAACTGAACGTGGCTCCGAAGTCGACTGAGAATAAGATGGGTACTGGGTAATATCCTGGAAAGTAAACGCGGTCAGCGTGAGCCTACCGAGTGCGGTTCCACGTATAAAACAATGGGACTAGCATTATATGGCCTATCCGACTAGTAAAGTAAAGCATCCCTTTCCAGGCCTTCAGACGTAATGGGCATATAGGGCTAGACCTATGTTGTATAGAACAATGGGCACTCGGTAGGTGATGTCAACATCACGCCGGCCGCCTTTACTTCCCAGGAATTTTACCCGGGACTCACTTAACTCTGGGTCGACCTGGCAGCCAAGGTTAGTTTTGAAAAGGTTTCGCTTTGTCCGGATTTAAACCCACGATCTTCGTTTCCGCAGGCGAGCGTCTAGCCGCTACTGCACGGTAGCCCCCCCCCCCCCCCTCTCCCCCACCCCTCCTTTTCGCCCCAACCCTTTTTTTTAACAAGGCGGTTAGCAAAGTAATTATGTCAGGGTATAAAGAAATAGTTTTAAGTTAGGGCCGTGAGTCGCGTTCAATTAGTGAACATTTCCGCGCGCTAAACAATGCACACGCAGGCACAATCCGACCGTCAATTTGCAGACATGTTTTTTTACACAAGAATACCGGGCAGTCAAAATCAAGTAATCTGGCTCTTTTGAGAGAGAGAGGAAATAACAAGCTGCCTACGAATAAGCCAGATCTGTGAAACGCATGTGCACGCAAAACTCAAGGTCTGCAACAAGACTAAGCCCTGAAATGGACAAACACCTATAATTTTCCGCCGGCGTTTACAACCGGTGAACGCAGAGAAGAAGAAGAAGAAGAAGAAGAAGAAGAAGAAGAAGAAGAAGAAGAAGAAGAAGAAGAAGAAGAAGAAGAAGAAGAAGAAGAAGAAGAAGAAGAAGAAGGAGAAGAAGAAGAAGAAGAAGAAGAAGAAGAAGAAGAAGAAGAAGAAGAAGAAGAAGAAGAAGAAGAAGAAGAACAAAAGAAAAAGAAAAAGGTTACTTAGGCAAACTGAAAGATACTATTACATACAGACAAAAGATGATTTATTCTTGATGACTGACTGCTGGTAATTTATCCTCCCACAACAGGTGTGGTTCCAGAACGCCAGAGCTAAGTATCGACGAAACCTGCTCAAACAACAGGACTCGGAGGGCAGCGGCACCAAATCAGGCCAGGGGGCAGATCACATCCAAGGATCGCCCTCGGGTCAAGACAAGGAGGCCAAGGACACGAACTCTATCCCTGACCTCAACGCCGGCTCACCGGCGCTTTCCGACATCAGCTCCACGCCATCGCTCTCCGACATCCACTCCTCCACCATGGACACCGACCACAACAGCAGCAGCAACAACAGCATTTCCGACCTCTTCACCAGCACCATCGCCACCATCAATTGACCACAACTGTAAGAGTATAACAACGGTACACATGGCGATCCAGAAGACACTTCGTCTCAGCCAGAATGACACAGGAAGTAACAGACGGGGATCCCCTGATATTATCACAGTGAAAGTGATGACATAATGCTGCAAGTACTGAAGCCAGTTTACAGAAGACGGTAGGAATAGAACAGATATCAGAAGACACACGGAAGACGATAATCATATCATGGGCATAGCAGAACAAGTCATTTTTCTACGCCTTAGAACAGGACACAGTCGACTTCGCAGCCACATCTACACAACATTTAAGATAGGCGAATTAGCCATGAGTACATTTGGCTTGGCACCTGAGATAACAGATGCGTCTTCGAAGACTGTCCCAAACACAACATATCCAGGCAACACTTTTGGTCAAGAGAACACTGATGCCAGCCGAACTTTACGGGTGGCTGAGCGAATTCCAATACAACAGAGAGTGATTAGAGACAAAAGTGCAGAAATAAATAATCTATTGTAATAAATAATCTATTGCAAGAGAACGAAAGAAAGAAAAAGAAGACCCACGAAAGAATATAAAAAGTACACACCTAGGCAGTTTGAAACAAAACAATGATATTTCATAGAGCCGTCTTGGTTTTGCTCAATGGAAAAAGTTCTGTGTCCGAACTCGGCTGCTTAGAAACATCTAAACTGGTTTCCCGTGTGTTGGTTCCGGGGCTATATGTCTGCCTGGAGTACAAGGAACAGACCCGCTGACCTCTTAACAAGAAGGTTAGAAGGTTTGTTTTCTTCAAAGTCATAGTGCATCAGCCTGGGAGGCAAAGAACCAACAGTCTGCATATAAATAAGGCAGATCTGTAAAACTCCAGTTCTGGATCAGGACAAAGGTCCAAGAGTGGACGAGAACAACCAGAACTTTCTGTCAAAGTGGACAGCCTGTAGAGGCTAAGAAAAAGATTCACATCGGTGTCTGTGATTCCCTTGGCTAACGTGCCAGGTCAGTCAGCCTAGTCTCGCCTCTAGCTCAGTCATTTACTCGGTGATACTATTGACCAGCAGCGGCGTACGTGAAGTCAAGGAGGCCGGCGTGATACTGACCACCACACCTAGTGACCCGAGTGCTGACTAAGCTTTCAAATGGAAGTAACACTATATACCCACTTCGCCCCAAAGTGGGAACAGGGCCCATCAATCCCTGTGTGTTTTACATGATTGGTTATTCTGTGCTATTCAGTCCATGACTTTGTGCTATTACAGTCTATGACTTTGTGCTATACTGTCTTAGACTTTGTGTTATACTGTCAATGACTTTGTACTACACCGTCAATGACTTTGTGCTATACTGTCAATGACTTTGTGTTATACTGTCAATGACTTTGTACTACACCGTCAATGACTTTGTGCTATACTGTCAATGACTTTGTACTACACTGTCAATGCCTTTGTGCTATACTGTCAATGACTTTGTGCTTTACTGTCAAAGAATTTGTACTACACTGTCAAGGACTTTTTGCTATACTGTCAATGACTTTGTGCTATACTGTCAATGACTTTGTGCTATAATGTCAATGACTTTGTGCTATACTGGCAATGCCTTTGGGCTATACTGTCAATGACTTTGTGCTGTACTGTCAATGACTTTGTGCTATACTGTCAATGGCTTTGTGCTATACTGTCAATGACTTTGTACTACACTGTCAATTACTTTGTGCTATACTGTCAATGACATTGTGCTATACTGTCCTTGACTTTGTGCTATACTGTCAATGACTTTGTGCTATACTGTCAATGACTTTGTGCTGTACTGTCAATGACTTTGTGCTATACTGTCAATGACTTTGTGCTGTACTGTCAATGACTTTTTGCTGTACTGTCAATGACTTTGCGCTGTACTGTCAATAACTGCTAAATTATCAGCGACTTTGTGCTATTTTGTCAATAACTTTATGCGATATGGTCAAAATGTCTGTGCTATGTCGTGAAAGTTTCCGTCTATATTGTGAAATAGACACCTGTATAGAAACAACAGTTACTGCCAGCACCACTGCCAATGTTGTCGTTGTTGTCGTTGTCGGCACCCCTCACGGTGGTCCTCTGTATCGTCTTCAACACCAGCGTTTCTGTCAGTACTACCGCGGTCACCAACATTTTCATCAGCATGGTCCTCCTCATCTTCACAACCCTCATCTTGACAAGGATTCGAATTTTCATAATAATGACTGTATCACCAGCCATGACAGATTTCATGATTATCATTTTGAAAATCACTTTGCCATTATCATAAAATCCATAAAAAATATCATCATACCTCTTTCGGCTATAACTGCATCATCATCACCTTCATGTTCAACAATATCATCATCATCCTCATCATCCTCATCAACATCATCAGCTTCATTAATTTACTGGTCATTGTTAAATACCCACAATTACCCCCTTTCACCTGGAGCCGACCTCCATGTTCATCCAATCACCCACAGTCACCCAATCACCCACAGTCACTCAATCACCCACAGTCACCCAATCACCCACTTAATGATGTCACCTGTGTAATTAATTATTTATTTCTTCGTGTGGTCAGACAACATGATCCACGGACTTGAAATCCATATGTGGTTTGTAACTTTACAAATTATTGTTACTTGTCATAAAATTACTGTCACTTGTCATTAAAAAATGATTGTCACTTGTCATACTAATTAATGTGCTCATTGTAATTAAATGACCGATCCACTGTTCTATAATTACTGTATCAATTCTTGCTCACTGTTCTGTTCAATTCCACTAATCAGGGGTTGCCTCCTTACAAAATCCGAGTGCATCAGCCTGAGAGGCGAGGAACCAGCACTCTGCACACAAAAGGCCAAATCCGTAAAAAGGATATGCAAACAAAAAATAACAAAAGTTCCGAAACAAGACTAAAGTTTAGAAATGGACAAACAACTAGAAATTACCTCTAGGTTCACAACAAATGAAAGCAAAGAAGAAGAAGAAAAGAAGAAGAAGAAGAAGAAGAAGAAGAAGAAGAAGAAGAAGAAGAAGAAGAAGAAGAAGAAGAAGAAGAAGAAGAAGAAGAAGAAGAAGAAGAAGAAGAAGAAGAAGAAGAAGACGAAGGAGGTGGAGGAGAAAGAGAAGGAAAATGAGGATTAAAAAAAAAGGGTCACTCATTTCCCTGCGTGTTACTGTGTAGCTTGCTACATTGGCCCTGTGTGTTACTGTGTCTTTTGTTACAATGTCCCTGCGTGTTACTGTGTAGCTTGCTACATTGGCCCTGTGTGTTACTGTGTCTTTTGTTACAATGACCCTGTGTGTTACTGTGTCTTTTGTTACAATGTCCCTGCGTGTTACTGTGTAGCTTGCTACATTGGCCCTGTGTGTTACTGTGTCTTTTGTTACAATGTCCCTGTGTGTTACTGTGTAGCTTGCTACATTGGCCCTGCGTGTTACTGTGTCTTTTGTTACAATGACCCTGTGTGTTACTGTGTAGCTTGCTACATTGGCCATGCGTGTTACTGTGTCTTTTGTTACAATACCCTGTGTGTTACTGTGTCTTTTGTTACAATGGCCCTGTGTGTTACTGTGTCTTTTGTTACAATGGCCCTGTGTGTTACTGTGTAGCTTGCTACATTAGCCCTGCGTGTTACTGTGTCTTTTGTTACAATACCCTGTGTGTTACTGTGTCTTTTGTTACAATGGCCCTGTGTGTTACTGTGTTTTTTTGTTACAATGGCCCTGTGTGTTACTGTGTCTTTTGTTACAATGTCCCTGTGTGTTCCCGAGTCTTTTGTTACAATGGCCCTGTGTGTTACTGTGTCTTTTGTTACAATGGCCCTGTGTGTTACTGTGTTCCTTGTTACTATGTCCATGTGTGTTTCTGTGTCACTTGTTACAAAGTCCATGTGTGGTACTGTGCCCCTTGTTACAAAGTCCATTTGTGTTACTGTGCCCCTTGTTACAAAGTCCCTGTGTGTTACTGTGCCCCTTGTTACAAAGTCCCTGTGTGTTACTGTGCCCTTTGTTACAAAGTCCATTTGTGTTACTGTGCCCCTTGTTACAAAGTCCATTTGTGTTACTGTGCCCCTTGTTACAAAGTCCCTGTGTGTTACTGTGCCCTTTGTTACAAAGTCCATTTGTGTTACTGTGCCCCTTGTTACAAAGTCCATTTGTGTTACTGTGCCCCTTGTTTCAAAGTCCATGTGTGGTACTGTGCGCCTTGTTAAAAAGTCCTTGTGTGTTACTGTGTCCCTTGTAACAAAATTCCTGTGTGTTACTGTGTCCCTTGTTCCCAAACCCCTGTGTGTTACTGTGTCCATTGTTACCAAATCCCTGTGTGTTACTGTGCCCCTTGTTACCAAATCCATGTGTGTTACTGTGTCCCTTGTTATCAAATCCCTGTGTGTTACTGTGTCCATTGTTACCAAATCCCCGTGTGTTACTGTGCCCCTTGTTACCAAATCCCCGTGTGTTACTGGGCCCCTTGTTACCAAATCCCTGTGTGTTTGTGTCCCTTGTTACCAAATCCCTGTGTGTTACTGTGTCCCTTGTTATCAAATCTCTGTGTGTTACTGTGTCCCTTGTTACCAAATCCCTGTGTCTTACTGTGTCCCTTGTTATCAAATCTCTGTGTGTTACTGTGTCCCTTGTTACCAAATCCCTGTGTGTTACTGTGTCCCTTGTTACCAAATCCCCGTGTGTTACTGTGTCCCTTGGCTAAATATTAATTTTCAAAAGTCCAATCGGCACCCGGTGGGTGATGTGGTCACCATTCCACCGGCCGACTTTACTTCCCATGAGACTGAGTACCAATTTTAGGCTGCGATGGAAGCATTTAGAACAAGGAAGACAAAAATGCCACAGCGTTCTGATTTGGCGAGATCTGCGGACTGGCAGGCCAGTATCGAACAGCTAGGACACCGCGGCTCCCCGAGGAATAGACAGGCAGACAAACAACGATGGCAAGCCAAATGAGCACCAGAACTGTTTATCGCATAGTGCATCTTACAACGGAAAATCTC